TCCTCCAAACCCTCCTATGACCTTCTAAATGGACCATCCCGTTTCTACTCTTGCCCTATTACAGGTATTTCTCAAGAGAAATCATATTTATTTATTTATTTGTTTCTTTGTTTATTATCTATTTCTTTTATCCTCACTTGAGGACATTTTTTCATTGCTGTGAGAGAGAGAGAGAGAAAAAGAGAGAAACATTGATTGGTTGCCTCCTGCACATGCTGGGACCAGGGATCAAACCCTCAACCTAGGCAAGTGTCCCAACTGGGAATCAGACCTGCAACCTTTTGGTTACGGGACAATGCTCCAACCAACTGAGCCACACCAGCCAGCGTGGGAGTAATAATTATTAAATGATTTAAAAATGAAATCAAGGCTCCATATCCAAACAATGGAAGATTATTCAGCCCTGAAAAGGAATGAAGCGTTGATAGATGCTATAATGAACCTCAAATACATTATGCTGAGTGAGAAAAGCTGAACACTAAGGCCACATATTGGATGATTCTATTTATATGAAATATTATTAATAGATAAATCCATGGAGACAGAGAGCAGATTGGTGGTTGCCAGGGGCTTAATACAGGGAGAATGGGGCCTGTTTAATGGGTATGGGGTTTTCTTTTGGAGGTCATGAAAACGTTTTGGAACTAGATAGAGGTGATGGTTGAACAACACCATGCACTAAATGCCACTGAATTGTATACTTTAAGATAGTTAATTTATTATACGAATTTCACCTCAATGAAAAAAAAAAAGAAAAAACAAATTAGATAACAGCATGTTCTGTGCTTAAAACCTTCCAATGGCTTCCCAACACAATACAAATAACATCCAAACTCCTTACCCACAAGGTCCTCGTGATCAGGGCTCTGCTCTGGAACCTTGCCCTTGCCTTTACCCACTCCTCACAAAACTCAGAGGGAGGGAATATCACCCCCATTTTAGAGGGGAAATTGAGCTCAGAGAGATCCCGTGGGTTGCCAGGGATCACCGGGGAACTCGCACAGCCTGAGGCTGGCCCTGCCTGGCTTCTCAGCAGCTCACAGCTGCCATGCCGCAGGGGCTGCCCACCGCTCTGTCCAGATGGAACACTCACTGCCCCACTGCACAGTGCTCATTCTCAACTCCACAGGTCGAAGAGCTCCCTCTCCCAAGGTCTTGCCCCTCCTTGATCACAGCCCCCTGCAATGATGTATGGGGAGGGGTCAAAAGGCCTGCCCCCTTGCCAACTCCAGAGTTGCCCGCAGGACAGCTGAGGCCCAGTCATAACTGCATCGCAGCTCAATTCCTCCCACTGCCCAAGCCTGCTCCTTCACGCCCTCACAAGGCTGGTTTCCAAGGGCACCTCAACATACCTCCTACCTACCAAGCTCCATCTAGTCCACTTCCTAGGACCCCAGCCTAAGACATCTGCTCATCCCCTGAGGGCCAGGCCGGAGGGTGCAGATTTTACCCTGAAGATCCCGGAAGGCTACAACTAAAGCACTCCAGTGACAAGTCAGATTTGCATTGTGGAAGATTCCACTGGAGGACAAACCGAATAGAGAGAGATGGGAGGCCAGCAGGCCAGTGAGCAGGACGGTGAGAGGGGCTGTGGCCTGAACTCACACCACAGCGGTGATGGCAGGGAGGCCAATTCCAGCCATGGCCACCAGGTGGAATAAACGGACCATAATTCTAGACTGGCTGCTGAGCCCTGTGCCTGGCCCAGGGTGACTCAGGGGATGCCGGGGCCTCGGGCTGTCTTCCATCTGGAAGTTACTCATCAGCTCTGGGCCAGACTGTTCCAATGCCAGCCCTGGCTCTGCCTGTCACTAGAAGTGTGGCCCGGACATAGAACCTTGGTGCCTCACTTTGTCCATTAGAGAAAACTGGGCTAATACCAGGCCCTCCTCATGGGGCAGCCATGAAAAGGCAAGGAGTTAACATAGTTCAGAAAGCTCAGACGGAGGCCTGGCATGGCGTTAGTGAGCATTACCTTGCTCCCTGTGGCTTCCCAAATACCTGCTGGGTATCTGGAAAGGGCCCAGGCCTTGGGTTAGACGCACCTGGGGGCCATGTGCACGCGGGCGTGTGTGTACGCGCGTGTGTGTGTGCTGGGGGGCAAGTCCCTTCACTGCTGAGCCCCAGATCTCACATCGGTAGGAAGGAAGTGATTCTCTGGGCCATGAGGGATTGTTAGGGGAATGAAGCAGCGCTTGAAAAGTTCCTGGCATGTGGTATGAAGTCAAACGCAGCTGCTGCTGCTGTGAGGCGGGTGGGGAGCATCTGTGCAAAGCTCAGCGCACTCGGCCATCCCACGGCAGGCAGCTGAGCCTCGGCAAGGCCAAACCCCGCCTGTCCTTCGCACTGTCAGCCTGCTCCTCCTCCGGTGTTCTCTCCCTAAATGTCATCGCCATCACCCAGATGCCCGAGCCAGAAACAAGAAGAATGCCCACGTCTTCTCTCCTATGTCCCCCACCCCAGGCAGCCAGCCACCAAGCCCTGGCACGCTCCAGCCTCCCCTTGTCTGCATCTCTGCTGTCTTCTTACCTCCCTGCCAATTCTGTTTCTTCGCTCAAGCCAGCTCAGACCCTGGGGGGCATAACCATGGACCTTGTCCTGAGAGCTAAACTCTTTAACCAACTCAGTAGGAGCACGGCCAGGCCTGGCACTATACCCCCAGGGTATATACCACAGGGCCTGGTATACAGTAGACACTCAATAAATGCTACCTGGCTGGAGAATGGACAAACGCATGAATATGTATATGTGCTGGCTGTGCTAATAGAAATAACATTAACAATAATATGAACAGGGCACCTGTACACAGCACCTACTACCTGCCAGCCCCATTCTAAGGTTCTACGTGGATTAACTTGTTTCATGCTCACAATACCCCTATGTGCTGACAGCTGTCATTCCCCAATTTTACAATTGAAGAAATGACATTATAGGAAGTTTAAGTAACCTGCCCAAGGTCACAGCTAGTGTGCAGCAAAGCCAAAATTCAAAAGGGACTCAGGACAAGAATTGCAGCAACTGATCAGAAAAGCTCCCAGCCACTGCACTGTGCTCTCTCCCAGGCACCATTGCACCAGGTTTTCCCATAATCCTATGATGCAGGCTCCAGGCACAGGAGGTTAAGACTCTTGTCCAAGGTCATGTGGCTGTAAACAGGACCGTTCCACTGCTTCTTTGTTGAAACATGAAATAGCGTCTATTTTAGTGACTTCAGTTGGGGGGTCTGCTCCCCTGTACTCTACTTATTTCTGGGGACCCTGATGACTGAGCTATGGAAATGGAGGTCAGGCAGAAACTGGCCAGTTGTATGGGTGCTACATGCTAGCTCTCACACTCCTTGCCTCCTGTGTCCTCAGGTTCTGGCTTCAGGCCCTTTAAACTCACCAGCCTGCAGCCTGCAGCCTGCAGCCTGCAGAGCAGTGCCTCGGGCCTGCCTGTGGGGTGGGGCGGGAAGACCCAGCCTCCAGGACCCCAGGGACACCCCCACCTCCACCTCCACCACAGCGGCTCTGCTTTGTCCAGGGTTCTGAGGGCGCCTTCAATGGGAAAAAGAGGTTCTGCAGTCAAAGCAACTTTTGAAAATATGTCCCCTACGGGATAAATGTCCTTGTTGAGTAAGGTGGCCTTCTCAAGTCTATGCTGGTAACATTCAGGAGCTTGGATGCCGTGAATTCTGGGATGGAAGAGGCAGGAGGGTGAGACTCTCTGGTGCCCTTAGCCAAGTTCAATGTCAAGGCTGCCCTGACCATTCGTGGCCATAGGGCCTTGCCCTGCACTCCTGCCTGGGTGTGCCCTAGGCTGGGGCTTGTTTGTCTCTAGTGGCACAGTCCTGTCTCTGGGCATTTGCCCACATGGCTTCTAGTGCCTGTAATAAAAAGAGAAACTACATATGCACCCTTCCCCCTGCCCCAACAAGCAACCCTGATAGTGCCACCTACTTTCTGCAACCCTCAGTACAGACAATGTCCGGTGTCATTATCCCCACCCCAGGGCGGGGGAGTTGAGCTTCAGGGTTAGAGAAGTGATGCACTGGAACACTCCAGCCCAGGTTGGTCTGACTCCAAAATATTCTTTCTGCACACCCTCACCTATGACCTCGCCAGCCCCTGACTCTCCCTCGTCACCTTCATCCAGATCCTGCCCACTCTTGGGGCCCGCTGGCAACTTCTAGTGCGCCCCACTCTCTCTTACCCCCCGCCCCCCGACCTTTGTAAAGGCCATTTCCTTAGATCTGAAAACACCGCCTCTCTCTCATACCCCTTTCATCTTTCTGACGCCACATCCTGTGAGTATCTGCTTGGGTGTAACCTCTTCTGGGAAGCCCTCCCTGCATGCCTGGCTAGGTAAGAAGCCTGCCCTAGGACTGACGTCACAGCCCCAATGACTCTGTTTTGTGGTCATTTGCTTTTCTGCATCCTAAGGAGACACTAAATTCTTGGGGGCTGGGTCCTGGTCCCCTGTGCTCACCACTATACCCTGTGCTGCCAGCATGATGCAAAGGCAGAGTAGGTGCTCAACAAATGCTGAGGAGCAGACTCATGAAGTCAGCAGGCAACCTCGATGTCTGCAATGTGCCAGGCCCACCTGGCAGGCACTGGGCACAGTGCACAAATGAGGCCCAGGTCCCGCTCCGGGCACGAGCCTTGCCTTTCACAGGAAGCCTCTCTCGATCTCCTTGTCCTCTGCCTGCCTCCCACTCCACATCTCTTTCATTCACTCAAATCTTTGAGCACCAGCTAAGCCATGGCGGTGTAGGGAGCATTTGGCAAACATCTAGGATACAGGAGGTGACACTGCCACTCTTCCCCACATGTCCACCCCATGGTGCTCGCCAGGCACAGGTACACAGCACATCATTGGTGTGAGGAGCCTTCAGTGACTCATTCCTCTTCTGTTATGTGCCAGCCTGCTTCTGAGGCTCCCCAAGCTGCCCCCTGCTCGCTCTCCCTCAGCCCACAGGCTGTGACCCCTTCCCCAGCCCTGGCCTGGCATAGTCATACCCGGTTGATGAGCTCGCCGACCATGCCTGTCCAGGAGCCATTGGGCTCAGGTGCCCCGTACAGCCCGTCTTCCACCAGCCGCAGGCGGTAGCGGAAGCGCAGCAGCTCAGCCAGCTCCCGCAGCATGTCCACGCAGAAGCCCTCGAAGCGCTCATTTCCCGACAGGGCCTGGAAGTTGGGCCGGCGCATGACATATGGGTTTTCCTGGGGAGACAGGGAGAAGTGGGGTCAGAGTCCAGGCATGTGGGGGTTGGGTCAGGACCCTGGGGCCCGGGCCCGGCAGCTACATCCAGAATCTTCTCTGTGGGAAGCAGGCTGGAAAGCTGGGGCAAAGCACATGGACTCTACCAGCCCCTAGCAGACCACAGGGTGCTGTTTTCATCCCCACTGGCCAATCTGGCATTCGTTTGTCTCCATCTCACATGCCTACGAGGGAAGCAGGTAACCTAGGAGCAAATCAGGCTGGATGGAGCTCATGCCAGGCTGGAACACAGTCTTCGAAAGTTCTGACTACAACCCACAGTAAGAGATTCATTTTACCTTGCAACCCAAGTCACACACATACACATATATGTGCATGGACGCACACACCACAAAACTGTCCTTACGTTGATACCTATGGTGATATACCCTGATATTTTCTGTTCTGCTCCATTATTTTAATACAACCAGTAGTGGGCCACTGAACTGACTTCATGAGGCAGCAAGGGACCAAAGAGGGTCTTCCCCACCAGGATTCAGCTGCAGCCCAATGCCCGCCATGAGATGCCAGGTGGCCCATGTTGAGAGAACTCGGAAACCCAGGTGATTCTATAAAATCTCCTAATTATAAAGTTTAGCCACAGTTCAAATCCTAATACCACTTTTTTAAAATGCTGTGCAGGCTAAACTAACACCTGCCAGCTTGCAATCTCTGGCCTAGAGCTAGTTTGTTATGACGATGCTTATTCCTGAGGGATTCAAGCAAATTTTACTGACCCCTATGGTGCTGAGTAAGTGCAAAAGCTGAGAGAATACTCCAAGTGCTGGGACGACGAGGCGCGTGAGGATGCCCGTAACAGAAGGGAAACTTATCTTGCCATAGTTGTTGTCTAAATGGTTGTTTGTGCAGTGTCACTTTGGACTTAAGAATGAATGGAGTCAGGACTTAGGAAAAGTCAGGAAAGCGCTGGCAGTAGCAGCTATGACAGTGACCGGGTCCTGAGCACCTGCTGAGTGCAGCCCCTGTGCTGCGTGTGTCCTCTGCAGTCTGTCACCTTAATTCCTTGCAGTGACCTTACAAAGGAAGCGTTATTACACTCATTTTACACACAGGGAAACTGAGGGTCAAGGAGGTCAAGTGACCTGTCACCTCTTGGCTATTCAACACAGTGTCACTGAGCTCTGAGGCAGACGTGGCTGCAATATTTTGAGGCGCTTCCCATTAAGAGGCAGAGCTGATTTCCCCACCCCTTGGCTCTGAGCTGGCCTCAAGACTTGCTTTGCCCAGCAGAATGTGGTACAAGTACTACTGTGAGAATTCCAGAGCCTGGGCCTTCAGAGCAGCCTTTCGGGACCCCTATGTAAGGAAGCCAGGCCAGCCTGCTGATGGAGGAGTGAACTGAGGTGTGCTGGCCAGCAGCCAGTACCCACAGCCACGCTGGACCTCCCAGCCCAACCTGGCTGCCAAAGAACACAGCAGCCATAGCGAGACAGGCAGAGCTGCTCAGTCAACCCATAGAACTGTGAGAAATTATATTCATTATTGTTTTGAGCCTCCAGGTTTTGAGGTGGTTACACAATGACAAATACTATGAGGCCAGGTCCTATTATAAGCTCTGAATTCCAGGACCCCACAAAGACCCACCGCTGAGGGGCAATGAAATGGAGGGAAGTCGGTGCTTTCTTTCCCCACTCCCTTCTCTTTCTCTCTCTTCCTCCCCAAGCTGCCTTTTCAAATCCAAAATTGTGGAACTGGGTGTAGGAATGTGAGATACTACTAATAATAGCAGCATAAGCCAGTGTTTCTTGTGGGCTTTGCTATGTGACAGCTATTCTGCCAGCGTGGGAGGCCGGTATTATTACCTCTGCTTTAGTGATGAGGACACTGAGGGCCTGAAAAGTGAAGTGGTAAGCAGCTGAGATGGACAAGTCAGTCTGACCCCAGATCTCTGCTCTGAAGCCCCATGCAGACTGAACACAGGTGGACAGAATCTGAGAGTGACATGAGAGAAGCCAGACATAGAGATAGGGACTCAGGTTGGATATCAAAGCTAGAGAATCAAAAATGAGAATGATCTATATAAGCACCCAGCGTTAGAGCTGGAAGGCTCTAGTACAGCCCTCTTGACGTGAAAAGGAGGAAACTGGAGCTTTGGGAGGTCACGTGCCTTGCCCAAGCCCACACAGGTGAAGCAGGACAGAAGGAAGGGGGGACTGAGAAGAGCTGGGGTTCAAAACCCCGTTGCTGTGCAGTCCAAAGTCCTTGCTCCTTTCCAGGAAGCCAAGCTGATCTCCAAATTCCAGACTGAAGCACTTGGGTTGTGGATTTGGGGTCACGGCTTCAGGACTGGGGTCTGAGCTTATAGAGCCAGAAACAGGGACTGGGCCTGTGAACGGAACTCAACATCAGAAAACAATGATCTAGGGCTCAATCCAGAGCCCAAGACCATCAGAACCGAGGGTCTAATCCAAGGTTTTCAGGCTTCTTCAAAGAGAATCTTCTGAGGAAGCCTGGCAGATAGACAGTGGGCCGTTGCTAAGTCTGAGTTGAGCATTCATCCTACAAATATCTGTGCACGTGCACACCAGAAGATAGGTCCCAGAGAGTCATAGCAGCATGCCTGGAGTGGGAGCCAAGTCTGAAGCAACCTACCTTGGGACAGGTTTAAAAGATTACTGATGCCATCAAAGTACCCCAGGCAACTACCAGGATAAGTCCTCTCAGATCTATTAAGAGGAAGAAGACAAGCTACAAAATGTGTACAAGATGCTACTCTGTGTGAAGGAAAGAGTGGGGATGTGCTTGCATCTGCACAGACACTTCTGGAAGGATGTGGCTTCTGGGGGAAAAAATGGAGAACTAGAGAGAAAAAGAGACTGACTTTTTACTCCATACCCCCTCTTTGAATTCCACTTAATTTAGATTTATATTAACGTCTGTCCCTCCCCTAGTTTAAATGTGTTAATATTAAATAGTAAAATATTTGAAAATTTCAAGGTATGATATTTAAAGGCAGATGGAAATGCAAATGATCAAGAAGAACCAAAGCAATCCCAAGAAACATGAGAACAGACAGATTCACCCTACCAGATATTAACATTTAATTTAAAGCTAAGGTATGTAAAACAATGCGGTATGCAAGCAAAGAGGGACAAGTGGACAATAGGACAGAGGATCGGAAACCCACATGTAAGTGGATACTCAGTTATGACAAAGGTCAGACTGTGTGAAGAATGATGATTTTAATAAATGGTGCTGTTCAACTGAACATCCATATGGAAAAAAATATATTCTGACCCCTACCTCACATGATACATAAAAATCAATTCCAGGTGTGTTATAGATCTAAATATAAAATGAATATGTATTCATTTTAGAAAATAAAGACTGTCTTCATGACCTTGGCCTAGAGAATTATTAAATTATAAAAGAATTAACCATAAAGAAAAAAAAACAGATAAAGTGAACATCAGTAAAATTAAAAATCTTTTCTTCAAATGATTCCATTGCAGGGGAAAAAAGATACCCATGAGTGGAAAGGCAAGCCACAAGGTGAGGGAAGACTTTTGTTATACATATTTTGACAAAGGACTGTATCCAGCATATATAAATAACTCACAAATCAATAAAAAGGTCATTATGCCCCAATTTTTTAAAAAATAAAGACTTGAGCAGAGACTTCCCAAGAGAAGGATTTCCAAACAGCCAATAAACACAAAAAGGTGGTCAGCTTCCCTGCTCATTAGGGAAATGTAGGTGAAAACTGTAGTATGATTAGGTCCTGTATGTAGCCACCACTGGGAAAAATGAGGAGCAAGTGGAATTCTCATTCACACACTGCTGGTGGGAGTGAAAAATGGTACTGTCACTATGGACAACACTTTGGCAGTATCTATGAAAGGCCCTGGCCAGGTGGTTCAGTTGGTTGGAGCATCATCCTGTAACCAAAAGGTTGCACGTTTGATCCCTAGTTGGGGTGTGTACAGGAGGCAACTGATTGATGTTTCTCTCTCTCCTTTTCTCTCTCTCTCAAATCAATAAACATATCCTTGGGTGAGGATTTTTTAAAAAAACTGAAAATACCCAGCAATTTTACAGCTGAAATACACTCGACAGAAATGCTGTATGTGTTCACCAGAAGTCATGTAGTACGATGTTCATAGCAGGATTCTTCATAATAGCAAAACATGAGAAACAACTCAAAAGAGCAGCTACATTTTGTGGCTAAATAAACTTTGCTACATTCTTATAACAGAACATATAACGATGAAACTAAACTACTCGCAATATGGATGAATCTCACAAACACGTGAGCTTTTACATGAAGTTCAAAGGTGGGGAAAGCTAACCTGTGGTGCTAGAAGTTGAGAAGACAGTTACTTTGCAAGGGGCATAGGGAGGGCTCAGGTAGGAAGGCTGGTTCCACAGCTGTGTTTGGTTTTTGAAAATTCAGTGAGTACACTTGGGATTTGTGTAAGCTTCTATATGCATGTAACACTTCCATAAAAATCTCTTAAAATTAAAAATTAAAAAAAATTAAAGTAGGTTGGGTTCTAGAACATTCCTCACAAGCTGCTTGGCTGGACCCCTCTGGGAACCCAGGACCCAAATCCATATCTAGGACTTCCTGGGTGCTGTTTAAATGACCCTGATCTAGTCCAACCCCTTCACTCTGTTACGAATATTTTAACACACACCCCCCACCACCACTTTAAAGGAGGGAACTAAAGACAGAGAGGAGACCCACCCAAGTCATGTAGCACATGGACGGCAGAGCCAGGCCTAGAACACAACGCTCAGGGCTCAGAAAAAAGGCAAAAATTGAGAACAAAAGGCAAAAAAAAACTCCAAAAAAACAACAACAAAAAAAACCACACAGCAGAAATTGAGACAAATCAAGGCAGTGTACTGCAAAAGGCAAGCATGTGGGCTCTGCCACCTTCTAGCTGGGTGACTGGGGTAAGTCACTAAACCCTCATGTGAAAATCAGAGGCCACAACAAAGGTGCCCCCCTCAGGGCTACCCCGAAGACTGAGTAACATGCTGCTCAAAGATGCTGGCCACGAGGATTGCTGTTTTTATCAAGGATGCCAGATCAGGAGAGAGACAGGGAAGGGACTCCTGTACTCAGCACAATTGTGCTGGACACCACCAGGGGCACTCTCTGATCTCGTGCAATCCCCCCATGGCCCTTCAAAGTGGCATTAATAGACCCATTTTACAGATGAAAGTATGGACAACCTGAGTGGTAGGAAGCAAAGCCAGGAAGGAGTGAAGTCTGTCTGACCCCAGAGTCACCAAAGAGCAGGATGAGACTTCACAGCCTGATGAAGGGGCTCATGGGGACCAACTGAGTGCCCAGGGAATTCTCCAGGAGAAATGAGGCCTGAGGAAAGGCCCCTACAGACCCCATCTCCTTGGGCCTTCTCTTCCATCCCCACCTTCCCTGTAGGGCTTCTCTGTCTAGGGACCTGCCAGCCCCTCTCAGCTCCAGGCCTGTGAGCCCTACCCCAAGGAGTCCTCCACCCTCCACCCCATCCAGGACCTTCTGCTCCCTCCTTCAGCCCAGCCCTATCTTCACTGCTTCTCAACATCCCACATCAGATCCCCCCTGTGCCTATAGCCCACCCCAACTCAGCCCTTGCACTCCCCCACCTAGAGCACCTTCCTCTCCTGCAGCCTCCCTCATGGGCCCAGGCGTTATTCTAACATCCTGACCTGGCCCTGCCCAGTCCCCCTCAATACCTCCAAGTACAGGGTAAGCATAACTGAGTCCCTCAGACACATTCCCCCACCTCTGTCACAGCACTCAGCACCCCTCTGTGCTTGCTAGGTACGAGGCGGCACCAGTCTAAGCCCTGGGGACAGGGCAGGGCACAAGGCAAGTCCTGACTGTATCTTGCCCCAGGGACCCACCTTGACTCGAGTCTGAATCCCCAAGTGTCTGACACAGGCTCTGTCTGGAAACACAAGTTAGAAAATGTTGGGGAATCAACAGGCACATCCAGCTGGGCCCACTGAACCCGCTGCCTCCACGTCCAATCTGACAAGCGCTCCCTTAGGCCCCTGCTCCTGTGGTTCCTGCTGCCCAGGACACCTGCCCCTGCCTTCTCTGTGCACTCAACTCCTGCACAGCTTCTAAAGCCCGGTCTAATGTCACCTCCTCTGTGCAGCGTTCCTCAGGCCTTCTAAGGCCAAGTCATCCCTCCTTTCTGTGTGGGAATGACTGTGTCCATGCCTGTCACCTCCATCAAACTGGGATCTCCATCCTATGTGTGACTCATTCCTGTACCTCCAGAACTTGCCCAAAGCCTGGCCCACAATAGCTTCAGAAAATATTTGTGGAATGAATGAACGAATCCATCAGGAGAAGAATGAACATCAGGGAAAGAACAACGTTTGCTCATGGGCCTTGGGGAGGAGAGATAAGTGTGAGAAGAAATTCAAAGTCGCTAGGATCATGGCTCTGCTCCCTGACATCCCCTCCCTTACCTCTGCCCTGGCTCCCTACCAAGAGCCCTGCCTTTTCACACCTCAGGAAGGCCCTGGGACTGACAATACCGCCCCCCCACCCCCACAACAGAGGCCCGGCTTCTGCCAGCCAGCCCAACCTGGCCCTCAGGGCCCCTCAGTGAGGCTGTTAGGAAGTGTCTGGTTTCCTGTCTGCAGGCCATCTGTCCCTCCCCAGCGGGCTCACTGGCCCTTCTCCAGAGGGACTTGAAGTCTACTTTTAGCAGGAGTTCCCAAGGGATTGAGGGAATGTCCCTGAGACAGGCTGCTTTAGGGGGTCTCTGACATCCTGCAGAACCTGTGGTAACCCTTTCAACCTCTGCATCCACAGCATTAGCCAGCCCAGCTCACAGAGGTACTGAGGGGCCCCCATAGACAATGGCTGCCAGCGGGCTAGGGACTTGGCTGCCACAGAGGGCATGGCTGCCTGCCATGCCCAGCCTCTAGGCCCAGCTGCTCTGGACAGCCTCCTGCTCACCAGGTCCTGTACATCACCCCTCCCTGACCTCCTGGAGGCCACTGTGCCTGGCAAGTGGCAGCAGGGCACAAGGGGGACGGCAGGGCCTCGAAGACCAACACTCAGCTCCAGCAGAGAGACTTGCTGTGTGACCTGTTTCCATACCTCCAAAAGGGGGAAAATAAGACAGACCTCCTAGGGTAGCTGAGAGGTTCACAAAGCGACGCCTGGAAAGGGCCCAGCACAGTGCCTGTGCAGAACAGTGCTCAATAAATACTCGCTGACCACAAAGATCTGACTGTGGTCTGGTAAGACTCAGGAGCAACACCCAGAGCTGCATGACAACGAGGGAATGAGAGGCCTGGAGGTTCAGAGCACAGGCTGTGGGGCCTCAGAGGCTTGGCTTCTCTCCTGACTACACCACTGACTTGCTGTGTGACCCTGGGCTGGTCGCTTCACCTCTCTGAACCTCAGTTTCCACATCAACTTATTAAATAAGTTGACATGTGTCAACACACTTGGTTGGCAAGTGTGACTAAACGACCACTCTAGTGATGGTGATTTACAGGGCCTTCCATGGGCCAGACACGTGAAGGCACCCTGCCTGTGCAGCCTCATGGGATGCTCACAGTGCTGCCCCACAGGCCAGGCATTCCCAGCTCCGCTGTGCAAAGTGGGCGGGCAGAGCCAGGCCGGACCGGCTCTGATGGCAGAGTCTGTGCCTCCCCTGCTCCAGCACGGATTAGGATGGAAGTGCCTTGGTCCCAGTCAGGGGTTACTGAGTATATGAGTCATGCCCTCGGAGGTCTGTGCGCACCCACCCCCCTGCTGACTAGGACCGAGCTGGGCACTGCTCAGGAAAGGCCTCTTCGCCTACTGCCTCTCCACAAGGGCCACTCACCAAAATGGTTGTGACCACCAGCGTCTTGTTGGCCAGTGTCTGCGACAGGTTGATGTCCAGGGTGGTGGCGTTCATGGCCAGGGTCCGGTTAGAGTACCACACCCCGATCTGGGGAGGAGAGGGATGTGGTACTCTGACCAGTGGGGTCCCACCCCGCCCTCCCCCCCTTCCACCTCCATCCATCCCCACCAGTCAGGGCTCTGGCAAAACCCTGGGCCTGCTCACCTCACGGTGGCCCTGCCGGGACTTCTCTAGGATGCGTAGGGTGTAGTTGGTCCTCTGCCCTTTGCTGTTGAATTCAACCCGCCCGGTCAGCCCATCATACTCTACCTAGCAGGGTGGGAGGCGGCCAGAGGGAGGGGTGGCAAGGGCCCAGAGAGATGAGCAGGGGAGGCCCAGAGGGGAAGAGACAGAGGTAGAGGGGACAAGAGAGAGGGAGAAGGACCAGGAAGGACCACAGTTAAACAAGCAAGACAACAGACCAGCAAATGAGGGGCGATGGAACAAAGACATGGGGAAACAGCAGCACAGGTGGGAAGGGGAAAGCCAGGAGAGACAGGACAGAGGGAAGAGCAAGGAAGAGGCCCAGAAAAAGCAAGAGGCGGTGGATAGGGTCAGAAGTGGGGGGAGAGGGCAGAGGGGCCACAGGGTGGACACAGTGAGTCTCCCACCTGAGGCAGGCTGATCGCCCTTAGCACCCCCACTCCCGGCTCACCATGCGCAGGTAGTTCATGAGGCTGGTCCCGTGGGGCCAAATGTTGGCTGATGTACAGGCTAGTGGCTTCACACCGATCTCCTGGCTGCGGTTTAGCTCCCGGACGGCACTCACCACCACGTGCACAGCGTCAAACATCAGGGCAGCTGACAGCTGGGTCAGAGGAAGAGGTGGGGTGGGACAGGGAAGAGGCAGCTTAGCCAGGGGAGCCCTGAAGTCCCATGGTGCTACCCCTGCCCTGGACAACTCCTCGTTCTCAGGGAATGTGAAACCATGCAGGTCAGGACCAAGGACAAGTCTGTGGCATCTTTCTCAGGGAATGGGCATGACAGGGAAAGGTGTGCATGCTGCCCAGGCCTCTGTGGGAGCATCTCTTCCTGAATGCGTGTGGCCTTGTGTCCCTGGGGGAGGGCACGTCTGAGAGGGTTTGCCTGGATGGCCAGCTGTGTCACCCCCCATGGGGATGTTCGTAGGCCTGAGGGTGTGCCTGGGAACCTGTGTGTCTGTGTGGCTGGGGCAGGCAGTAGACAATGGTCACAGCTCCTCTCTGAGTGTCTAGAGGCATTTGTGTGGGTGGGGCTGGGCAAACACACCTGTTCGTCTATACACAGGGTAGGGTATGACATCTAGGAAGCGGGAGAGCATAATGGTTGTGAGCCCGGGCCTGGGAGTCAGGCAGATCTGAGCTAGAGGCCCAGCTCTACTATTCCCTTTGGTGGGCCAAGTCTCCACCCCTCTCTGAACCTCGGTTTCCTCCCCTGTAAAGTGGGGATAATTGTCATCTCTGCCTCTGAGTATGCAGATGGGGATCAAGGAAGGTAACACATGTAAAGAACTCAAAACAGGGCCTGGCACAGTTACAAGCCAACCACTGAGCTGTGACTGACAGCATCAGGCATCTGTTTGTATGTGTGTGTGAGTGTGCCTTAGCTGGGTCGATGTGCAGGTATGAATCTTTGTGCCGTGCAGGTAGGTACAGGGGTGTGTGTGAAGGCGCCTCAGTCTGTGTACACATGCCATGTCCTTGCGCGTGCACAGTGACTGCATGGCTCAGTGTCCATGTGAGTTTCTGTGCACATAGGAATGTTTCAGTATTTTGGTGTATGACTAGATATCTGTGAACAAACACATGAATGTACATCTTTTGTGTTTGCATTTATTCAGCATGTATTATTGGATGCCTACTCTGAGCCAGGCTGTTTTAGGTGCTGGGGATACAATGGTGAACAGACAGAAACCCCTGCCCTTGTGAACTTTCAGTCTCTATGTCTGTATCTATATCTAAGCGAAATATAGAGCAAGCCACATGGTGATTAGATAAGCAAAGATAGGTGCTATGGAGGAAAATACAGCAGAGAAAGGGACTTTATAGTGGGGACTTTCCAATATTTTAAATAGGGGGACCAAGGAAAGTCTTAAACTTGAAGGGACATTTGAGTAACAATGTGGTGATGAGGAAGCAAGTCACTAGTTCTCTGGGGAAGTCCACGCAAAGCAGTGACTGGGAGCACCAGAGGGTCTGAGCACGAACTGGCAGAGATCTGAAGGGGCCCCGGAGCGCCTGTGTGCAGAGTGCCTGCGTGTGGGGGCAAGGGCGCACGCTCACCGCAGGGCCTGGGTAGGTGCTGGCTTCACAGTTCTCCCTCCAGGACATGTTGAGGCTGCGCACGAACTCGGGGTAGAAGGGGTGCGAGGTGTTGAACATGGAGAAGCCCAGGATATTGGAGGAGTCCTCCACAATCCCGTCCAGGTGCAGGATGGGGAAGTCCTGGGCCAGGGAAGAGGGGTGAGGCCTGAGGCTGGGCCCCACTGGTGCAAACATTATGGAGGGAATGGGGGCCAGAGGGGTTGCTGGGGGTACGCACCATGGTGGTGAGGATATACTTGTAAAACGCAGACGTCATTCCCAGCTCTGAGGCCTGGAGAACATGGGCAGGAAAAGAGGCGACCAGACAGACAGAGGAAGAGATGGGGAGAAATCGGGAGAGGAAGAGATATTTAGAGACAAGCCTGGTGAGAAGGCATCCCATGGGAAATACAGTAAGAAACCCAGAGACAGAGAACGACAAGGTGAAGATACATGTGGTCAGAAGGAGACCTTGATCCCTCATGTCCAACCGCGCTATTGCCCCAGGTGGGATGCAGGTTTCATTGGAGGAGAGAATGATGCCCTTGAATGCCTGCAATGCTCTTTAGGTCATTTAAAAGACTGCCCTCTGGAGACAGGCAAAGGGACACCTGAGAAAGAGCGCATGTGGGGAGGATAACCTTAACCTTAACACCCTGCTGCCCCAAAGCCAGGTTTGGCTGCTAACATGTAGGGATCAGCCTGGTCACAGGTCAGATACACTGTCCCCACAATCTTTAAATGCACTTTGCAGCAAAAAGCAGCTAATTTCTCTCAAGATTCTTGTTTTGAGTCCCCCTTCTCACAGTCTCCAAGGAGGACAGAGCTAGAAGACCTCTCCAGGCCAGGAGTGCCCAATCCTGTCCCCACAATGGTCATTAGAACACTAACTGGAATCAGCTTGCACTGCTTGAGTGTTAGGAGCTGTTACCACACAGGTTACAGCCCATTTCATGACAAGAACATGCAGGCTTGAGAGGAAAGTGACCACTGGCCCCTTGGCCCACACAGGAAGCAGGGCCAGGACTCTGGCCCAGGACTGCCAGCTGCCTTCTCCCAAAATCTTTTCTCCCAGCCTTCCTGCCTTCAGAGCCCTGTGAAGTCTGTCCATACTTCTTCCTATAAGCTAGAATCAGCTGTGACATATGGTTTGAATTTTTTAAAAACTGGAGAAAAATAAATAATACAGGTTAGATTATGAGAAAAATTAAGAGCAGGGAAGCAATGAATGATGAATAAATGCAGGTCACTGGTGGATGGCAAATGGTGAGCCCACGGCAGAAAGTTCTGGTGCTGGCCCCTCCTGGGTGCCCTTGAGTTGATTCATTCCCCCTGGAACCCCAGCTTCTTCACCCACAAATCATCATCATACCTATCCGCAGGGTAGGTGAGACCCAAACTAAAGAACACATGCGAAGTGCTTCAACAGAAGGCAGGACGGGTGCTTAATAAAGATAGCAGGGGGCTCCCTCTAGTGTGGGCCAGATGCTGTCCCATGCACTCCCCTAACCCTCACAGCAACACACAGGGGCAGCAGCTATTCAGAGAGGGGAGGTGACTGTCCAGGGTGTAACCAGGGCGCAGCTGAGCTGAGACACAAATTTCGTGAGTATCATCAACATGTAGGAAGCAGGTTTCCACAAACCCTGTGATCACCCAGGCCTGTGGGCACTGGGCAATGTGCTCTGTTTGTTCCCCATGTTTCTGTCCCTGCCCCTGTAGAGACAGGGGACCCACCTTACGGAGGATGAGGTGGGAGATGGAGGCATTGGCATCGATGATAATGGTGGACACCTTGTCATCACGGATCTCCTTGAGCAGCGGCGTGGGGTCCCGGCTATCATCCAGCATCCTCACTGACAGCGTCTCCTTGGAGATGAGGAAGCCTCGTACCAGCTCCTCCAATCGCAGCAGGCCTAGGGGTGGGGTTGTCCCAAATTAGAGCCCCTCTGTGTGCCTGACTTGGGGCAAATGCTCCCTCCTCCTCACCACCATGCGGCAGCTGGGAAGAGGATAAATACACTCAAGAGACGGGGGTGGGGGGTGGCAGCTGCCTGTCCAGAGTGTAGCTGGCTGTCTTGGGGTCCGGACCCAGGGACCTGACACCTGGGGCTTCCCAAATTAAAATCCCAACCTACTGTTCCTCCTGACCTCCAGCTGCCTGCTTCCTGTCACCTTTCAGTGCCTCCACCGATATGTGTAACAGGCATCTCACACTTCACACACGCAAAGCCAAGTGCTGCTGTTCTCGCCCAAACCAGCATGTCTCCCAGGTCTAGACGGCAGCCTGACTCCCTCTCTCTCTCACACTCATGCCCAGTCCCTCTGAGCTCTACCTTCAAAACTCATCAGACCCCATCGAACTGCAGCACACCACCGTCACCGCCCTAGCCCAAGCCCTTGCCATCTCTTGCCTGAAACTAAACAGCCACGGTTGCCCTCCACAGAGTCTGTCCCTTACACTACAGCCAGAACCAGGTAAAGCAGATGTGTCCCTTCTCAGCCCCAAACCCACTAACAGCTTCTTGCTCGCTCAGAGTGAAGGCCAAAGCCTGCAAGGCCCCGCCTGATCTCATTATCTCCTGATCTTGTCTCCCTCTGTCACTCACTCTTTCCAGCCTCACACACTGTCCTGTGGCCTTTGCGCAGGCTAGTCCCTCTGCCTGGAACACTCTTCTCCCAGATACCACACAGCTCCCGCCCTTAACACCTTCAGATTTTTGCTCAAAAATCACCCCCTCCTGATGACACCCAAATCCACCATTACATTTCAAATTGCTCCCCTCATCTCCTGGGGGGGCAATGTCCCCCCGTTACCCTCATCTACTTGTCCACAGGACTTATTCCTTCTAACTAAACAACGTCCTCATTTATGTTCATTGCCTAGCTCCCCCAGTTAGAATGTAATTTGACAAGGGCAGGGATTCCAGTCTGGCTTGCACACTGCCATAACCCTAACACCAAGAATAATGCCTGGCACAGGGCAGGTGTTCAGTAAACACCTTTTGAAATAGGAATTCTTCCTGGAGGTTACTGAGCAAAAACTCTCTCTTTCTCTCCAGCTGCACACCCATAGACCCTCCAGCTCCTCAGACAGCTCCACCCGAATCTCAAAGACACCTCCAACCCAACGTGTGCCTCTGAACTAACTGTCCACCTCAGGCCGAACCTGGTCATTATTCATGACCCTGCCCTCGCCCCTCCCTCTCGGCTCTTCTCCAGTCCAGTGGTCTCTTCATCCCACTGCCACCACCTGAGCCCTAACCAGCCCCATCTACCTCCATCTCTCGCTGGTCTCCCCACTACATCTCACATCACTTTCCAGTCCATTCACTGCATTGCAGCCAGAGACAGCTTCCCACAATACACTCGCCTGACCCTATGTGGAAACCGTCACTGTCTTCAGGATGAAACAAACGCAAGGCCCTGTGTGATCATGCCCCACTTGAGTGTCCTGCTTCATGTTCTCATGTTCCTGCTGCAGGGAACATCTTTGAGCCTCTTAAAGAGGCCACACTTCCTGGGTCACAACTCTGCCCTGCCATGCCCTCTGCTCAGAACATGCTCCCACCCTTCTCCCCACCTCCCCACCCTGCAGATCCAGCTGAGATGTCCCTTTCTTGGGGATGCAGGCTCCAAACCTCCCAGACCTTTGTGCTCCGACAGCCCCTGCTCAGCCTCTAACAGAGCACATATCACTCCACATCATTGCTACTCAACAACTATGTCTTCCACTGGCCCTGGAGCTCCCTGAAGTCAGGGACCACACTGAGGTCTAGCAGGGACCTGGATCTGGCAGGTGCTTAGCACTATCTGTGAGCTAAATGGTCCCTTTGGGAAGTCGGGGGGGAGGGGTGTCTGTGGAAACAGAGCTCTGCCTTCCTAAAGGGGAAGGAACAGTGGGGTCTAAGAGAGCTGTGCCAGGGTCCCCCAGGCGTTCCAACCAGGAGGCACTGATGACTGCGTAGGAGACCAGACCACTTGAGAAAGGAGCTTGGGGAACAGAAAACAAAACATCCAGTTTCCTCCCTCACACTCGGCCTTGGCACAGATGAGGCTGGCCGAGGGGTAGTTGAAGGACTTGAGGATTCGGGAGACCGCCAGGCTGACGTCCTCGTTACTGGGGTACAGGCTGACAGACGCAAAACGAAGGTACTGAAGGCGAGGCGTCTCCTCGGGACCCACCTTGATGTGGGGGATCTGGACAGAGAAGGAGCCTTTGCTTCTGCCCTGCTCCCTCCTCCCCACCCTCACCTCCCAGGGACCCCCAACCCTGCTCCACCCCACCTCACCTCCTTCTCTCCACAGATATGGCTCACGGTGGAAGCAGATGCAGGGCTAGAGGAGGGCCCCAGCACAGACACGACCCCCTTGGGCAGGATCTGACACACTGCGAGGGGTAGGAAGAAACTGCAGAGTCAAGGACCCTTTCCCTTCTCTCCGTCCCCGCCCCTCAGGGAAACCCCACTCCCACCCCCCGCCACCCAGGAGTGGAACGGACAACTCCTCCACCATGCGGACCCAAAGGCCCAAACCCTGCCACCCTATGGACATAAGGATGGGGCACAAGGCAGAGAGAGACGGGGAGAAATGGCAACAGAGGGACTGGTCAAACCAGAGAAAACAAAGGAAGGGATGAAGAAGAAACACCAGGGGCCTCCTTCTGGCTGCAGATACAGTGCCAGGTTCCTTGGCCTTCATCTTCCTCAGCCTTTCTAACCATGCCACCATCTAGGGTGCATCCAACACCCTCCAACCTGAACCCATTTTTCTGTTGCATTTACTTTCTCCTTTCTTCCCCTTAAACATGTGTGTGTCTCAAGACTGGAAAGTAGAAGCTGTTGCTTTGTCTGCCCAGCGCTCATTCTCATGGCAGATACCTAACTTTTCTTCAGGGAACCACATGGTTCCCAGGATTGATTGTCATCCGACCCAAGGTCACAGAATTATATCTTCCTGGCCACAGGTATTGGTTCAGAGACCGAAACGGGCTCAAACCAGGCCCTGGAGAGCCTTCCCCAGGTCTGCTACAATTACTGCTAGGTTTGCTAAACTGGTGAGATGTAAGTTCTGAGCTGCCGGGGCCATATTGCTATCAACTGGGGAGCATGTCCCTGAAAATGAAGCCAACTTAGAGGAAAGCAGGACCCAGAGGTGAAGACAGAGAGATTCCTGGAACATCATTTGAGCACCTGGATATAGCCATGCCTGAAACAATCCTGAGACGTCATTTGAGTACCTGGATCCATCCTTGCCTGAAATTAATTCTTAAGCCTTTTAGTGAGTGACATGAGCTGATAAGTTCTCTTTCTTTCTTCAGGCAGCCGGAGGTAGGTTTCTGCCACATTCAGAGAAAAGTATCATAACTAAATGCCTTATCTCCCTCCAAACTTGCTCCTTCTATGCCTTCTACATTGGTGAGGGCCCTGCCATTTACCGAGACCAAATACCTGGAAATGACTCTTGCCTTCAATCTTCCTCTCAACAGCCAGTTAGACACCAGTCCTGTTTCTTTTTTTGTCCTCAAATTTCCTCACATCTGTTCCCTTCTCTTTGACCCCTTCTCCCCTACTCTATTTCAGGACTCTCAACTCAGGTGTGTACCAGCCTCCTCATTGATCACCTGAATCTAGCCTCCAGATTCACTTTCACCAGCCCCCTGGTCTAATCCATCAACAACTCCCCACTGCCCATCGCTGAAGGCAGCATCGTTCAGCCTCCATCGCAGGCCTCCAGGAGCTGGGCCTGCCAGTCTATCCAACCTCACCTCCCACTGCCCAGTCACACTCTAGCCCAGACGTCTCCCATGACCCCACTAAACATGTCCTGAGTCCAAGTGGTCAGGATGGCTATAACACCACACCCTATTCCTTGGCTTCAAATACTTCCCCCTCCCTCCCACCCCAGCTCCAGACTACGAGCACATGCCTGGAACACCATCTGCTACCTCACCCTCTATCCTGGCTTCTCCCATTTTGCATTCTGTGCTGCACCAGTCAAAAGGTCCAGGAAACATTATACCTCATTCTCCCTCTCAGTGATTTGAAATACACATGAACATAAAAAAGACTCTGATAAGTTCTGCAGGAAAGAAGTCTGTCTAAAATACCTTTGAATGCAGCCCTCCCAAAGGTCGACAACCTCAGCATGTCTGTTCACTGGACATCTACTAACATTCACCCAGTCCACAGTATTCCACAAATATTTATGCACCCCTACTTTGTAGCTTACTTTGAACACCACCACTCTTTCTATATATCTTGCTCACCCTACAGAGCTCAGCTTCAGTTTAGCCTTCTCCAAAAAGCCTTCGCTACCCCTGCCCCTGAGGTTCCTGCCTTACTGCCTGGGCCCCTCATTACTCAGCTCGGGGGGCCAGGTGCTCCTGGCCAGATATGAAGCTTAAATTTCAAATGAGGGCCTCAGCTCCTCCAGGATAGGACTGAGCCTGGTGCTATCTCTCCTCCCCATACCCAGCAGCACAAACTCTGAGAGGAAGGCAGAGCTGACATGAAGGAAGGAGCAGACAGAGTTAGAGGAGGAAAAGGCACGCTGAGGAGGTGGGGGCTGACAGATGCACTGAGGGCTACCAGCCTGCCCAGCCTCACCCCACACCCCTGTGGCCCTGCTCACTGGTGTCCGTTGTCTCGTACTGGCTGTCCCGCTGCAGCTCAAAGATGTCTACTTCCACTCGGGCCTTGGCTGGGACCTCGATGATCCCGTTGATCTGCTCCCGAGCCAGGGCCAGGGCTAGACGCTCGCCACGGCCACACACTGTCTGGTCATCCAGGATTGCAGCTGAGGGGACACATGGGTTGGGGACCAGATGCCAAGATCCTGAGGTAGGAATGGGGATGGGGACTGGGGTCTAGACTCCTGGGTCTGAGGCTGCAGAGAGCTGGAAGTCTAGACTCCTGGGTCCAGGGAAGAAGTAGCGGGGAGCTGCTGCTCCTTGTTGCTGAGGAGAGCGGAGACTGGAGGCCCAGATCCTTGGGTCCTGAGGAATGTCCTCCTTAGGTTCCCAAAGAGGAGCCCCGGGTCTGACGGGAGGGTCTCTGAGGAGGCAGGGGCAGGGCTGCAGGGCCTCACCCATGCGCAGTGATGACAGCACCTGGCAGCTGGGGCTGGCAAAGGCGACGATCATCAGCAGCAGCAGCTCAGCCGGCATCTTCCTCCCCTCCTCATGGGGACGCAGCTGCCGCGGCCCCCACTCGCCACCTGCAGGGATCGACCATAGGCAGATTGCTGATGGGGGGGGTCTCAGAGCCCCTTTGGAGGACTGCTGGACAGTGTGCTGAGCACAGACCCTGGGACATTGTGAGTGAACTCTGAAGGGCCACGCCCTCATTAGAAGCTGACGAGACAGTACTGAGGGCATTGCTAGGAACGAAGCTCAGGCCCAAGGAGCACTGCCAGGGAGGCGTTCACAGCACTCAGGCCCGAGGGGGAGAGCAACCACTAGAGAATATTCACAGCTACCAACAGGAGGGAGGCATGATATGGATCTCAGGTAAGAGCGAATTCCAGGGACCATCCCCACCCCAATAGGAAATCAAGAAGTGCCACCCCCAACCCAGTCCCGCCCTTGTCTCTGGGCAGGCAGCTGTTACTAGGCAACAGAAACGAGCTGGAGAGGATGCAATGGTTGCTAGGCAACCCCTCCCTGGCCTCACTTGCTACCTTCCTGACGTCCCTGGCTCCCACAATCCCACAGGGAGAGAGGCCTGGACATCGGGTTCTGGAGGGTAGAGTATCCAGGAGTTAGGAAACTTAGAGAGAGAGGGAAAGATGAAGAGAGACACACATGGAGACACACAGAGGTACCCAAGGCAGCTAAGGGACTAGAAAGAGTAAAGAGAGAAAAGGGAGGAAAGAGAGAGACAGAAAGGGAAAGGCTAAGAGGGGAAAATACAAGGAGACTCAGGAAGGGAGAAGGGGAAATACAAGCAGAAATATAAGGGCCCAGAAAGTTGGTAAGAAGACAGTGAACTGGGGCTAGAAATGGAGAGGAACAGAGGAGGAGAGTTACAGGGAGATATGGAAAGAAATAGGAGAGAGGAGGCAAGAGACAGGAGGGTAGGGAGACACAGAGGTGGAGAAAGGGCAGGCAGAAGAGACAAGACACAAGAGAGAGAGAACAGAACAGGAGGACAGAGAATGGAGACACAAACCACAGAAGATGCCACCAAAGAGAACCGGAAAGGAAAAGTAAGGCAGGGAGTGTACTGCCTGCTGAAGAAGGTGCCAAGCCACGCATCCCCCCTGCTCTGGGGAGTTAAAGAATGGGGTGAGACAGTGCACCTTTGCTTCCCATACTTGCTCCCCACTTCCAACGAGTTAAGAGATTCCTGAGGGTGCCCCAGCCTTCTGAAAGGGGACTACTGGGCAGAAAAGAGTTGGGCCAGATGTGTGATTCCTCCGGACAGTGATGCCCCAAAGGGAGGACACTGGGTTCCATGGGAGAGAGTTACTATGAGGTCCAGAGTGCTGGGAGGTGAGCCTTGGGGTCTCCTGCACCCCACCCAATCCCCAGGGAAGGAGAGCTTGAGCTGGTGAGATGGCAAAATGAAACCTGCTAGGGGAGGGCAGAGACACAATGCAACACTTCAGACTGTCCTTTCTGTCCAAGAAAATCGAGGCCAGGGCAGCAGGAGACCCCGGCAGTCCCTGCTCTACCCCGACTTCCACGTGACCTTGAGCAAATCTGTCTGTCTCTCTCTGGGGGCTGCTGGGGAAGACAGGCTGTGGGGGTGAAAGGGCATACTGGACAGGCTGGGGGCTGCAGAGTGCAATTTGGATCTAAGGTGAAGGCTTGTCAAAGGTGGAGCAGCAAGGAACGCTGGGACACCCACAACTCACAGGGGAGGGGAGTGGAGGCTGGGCCTGGGAGAGAGGCAGGAGTGGAGGGTCATCCTGACACATCAGGGGATTCTGGGGCAAATCAGGGAGCAGAAACTAGAAGATGGAAGACTGAGGAAGAGATAGGGGCCAAAAGGGCAGGTTCCCACAGATGGCAGACACAGGCAGGAGCAGAAAGACAGAGACAGAGTGCAGGGCCAGGGGTGGAGGCAGCAGATGGACACAGATGCACAGGAAGGCACAGACATAAAAACAAAAAGACCTGAAGGAAGTAAATGGGACTAAATGAGAGAGAAAGACACACAGGCATCGCCTAGAAGACACCAAAGGAGACAGTAACCAGAGGGAGGGTGTGAGAGAGGACGGGCAAGAAAATCAGGCAGGCCTGAGCCCCACAGGCTCATGGACTTAGGCTGAAACACAGCTGCCAACTGAGCGGAACGGGCTGAGTTAGGAGCCCTGCCATGGGAGGGAGACAGACAAGTGGGCAGGTGAGATACTGATATTGATATCAAAGGTGAGAAGGCAAATTGGGTTAGAGAAGGCAAATGGGGTGAGAGCACAAAAAGAAAAATGACAACAGGTAAAACGAGTGTGGGGAGGAAAGAAATCACAAAACTCTGAAAAGAAAGCTGGCTTATCAGAAGGAGACAGACAGAAAACGTATGTCAGAGCCACACAGCAGATCTATAGAAGAAGGGGTGAGCGGGAAGACACAAGATTGAGAGAAAGGGACTGATACAGACTCACAAACTAGCATAGAGGGAGAGTGAAAGGGAGGAAAACTGAGGTGGAAAGGAAGACTGAGTAAGCTGGAGGGACACAGGCAGGGGCAGGGCAAAGCACCCCTACAGGGGAGCAAGTCCGCACAGAGGTGCATCCACTCAGGTTGCCGGGCACTGTGGGAAGTGTGAGGCATTGCGGGGAGAGGGGACAGAAGAGGGAAGAGAATGAGCAGTGGTTGGCAAGATCACAAAGGAAAAGAAAAGACAAAGTCACAAAGTGGACCATGGAGCAGGGCAGCGGCTAAGGAGTAAGGGATGGAGGGAGTGGACCCATAGTGAATCCGGGGAAGAAAGGAGAAAAGCGAGAGAAGGGAGAGGGCCTCCAAGCCCAAGGTTAAAGAGGGAGGAGGCCAGGTGAGCAGAGGCCCAGGCAGAGCACAGAGTAGACAGAGAAAAGTGGCAGGAGGACTAGACTAGGCATGAGAGCCTCCAAAAGAGACAAGAGATGGGGAGTTTGGAGACAGATGGAGAGAGATCCACACAGACATACCAGGCAATGATGAGGCTAATGGCAAAGAAGAGAGAAGTTGAGCAGAGTCAGAGAGAGGCCCAAGAGCCACATGAAATGGGGATTCAAATATGGACAGACATTTCCATGAGATAGAGACCGGATGGGATGGGGAGGGGTTCATGGCAAGCAGTGAGGATGAGGCTCAGCAGAAAGAGGGAGACAGAAACAGAATGAGAGTGAGCAATCGGTCATCGCAGACCCAGGCTGGATAGAGCAGGGGCGGAGACGTGCCAGCAGTCCGGAGAAGGAGTGAGACCACAAGGAAGAGCCAGTCAGCTCCTCAGGGCCCCAGAAGCTGAGGGGCAAGGGTGAGCTGTATACCCAGAAGAAGGGGTAAGAAAGGGCCCAGGGGAATGGAGGCTGGGGAGATGGCAGGTCCCTGGTGGGGGAGGGTATTTGCTACCCTGGAAGCAGGGAAATGTAGGGGGCCCCTGCCAGGCAGCAGTGAGCCCAGCCTTCCAGGACTCAGGCCGGCCCCAGCCCAACCCCTGCTCTGCAGACACTTACGGATCTTGGTGGGACGGAGAGCTGGGCTCCCTCGAGGCCCGAGAAAAGACAGCGGGGAGATGCTCTGGCACTGGATGGCGGTGTGGCTGGGGCGGGGGGAGAGGGCAGTCCACAGGGCCCCCTCCCCCGCCTCCAGCGGTGGCCCCCAACTAATCCAAAACGGAGGCTCTCAGGAAGCAAGGAGGAAGGAGAGGTGGAAGGACAGGTGGAAGAGGAGAGAGTGGGCTGGGGAAGGGAGGAAAGGGAAAGGAGAAAATGGAGGAAAGATGGGGAGAGAGGAGAGGGCGAAGGAGCAAATGGAGGGGAAGGAGGGAGGAAAAGAGGAGAGGAAGGTGAAAACGGGAAGGATGGGGCACAAGCAAAGCCGGGGGAGGGGGAAGCTGGCCCAGGAAAGGGCCCCTGCCCCCTCCCCTAGCCAGGCCGGCCTGGGGGGGCCACTGGGGGTGACGACTGGGTGGAGACAAGGAAGCCAGCCATCAGGAGAAGTGGGGGAGGGGAGGGTTTGATGGGGGGGAGGGGGTCACCCCTTCCCCCCTCCCCCCAGCCTTTTGGCCCTGTCCTGGATGAAGCAAGGGCCTGGAGTCCTCAAGCCCTCAGCCCCCAAGGGAAAAGCATGCTGGGGGCAGGAAGAGGCCGAGGAGCGGAGGGGCTGGAGAAGATGGGGTGCTGAGAGACCCAGAGAGCCAAAAAGGGGGCAGGCGAGATGGAGAGATGGGGAGGAGGGAGAGAACAAGGGTGGGGGAGGATGGAAGGAAGCAGGTGGGAGAGGAAGGCAGAGGAGGGTGGGGTGTCCTGGGGGGTGTCCAGCCCAGGGCTTGGGTGGGAGGGCCTGGCCACCGACTCCTGGTCCCCTGCGAGGATCAGCCTCCGGCTTCTGGTCCCCAGCTGGGCCTGCCTCCCTGCTGGCCGCCACTGCTGCCTGCTGCCGCCACCGCCACTGCCACCTCGCCTCCCCTCCGAGGCCCAAGCCGCTGCCTGCCTGCCCGTCTGCCCGCCTGCCACCCGCGCTGGGTCCTGGAGCCAGGGGGGGCGGAGAGATGAGGGAGGCAGGGAGGAGGGCGGGCTGAAGGCAGGGAGGGAGGCAGGCAGAAAGAGAGGAGGGAGGGGAGTCAGAGGAGGGGGAGCCCGTATTGGTCGGGGCTGGGGGGCCCGCGAGAAGAATGCTGATGAGGAGAAGGCCCTGCATTGGACAGAGGGCCCACCCCCAGGCCACCCCCTCCATCACAGCATGCCACCGCCCTGCCCAGGCAGCCCTTGGGCAGGGGAGCAGAGAAGATGAGCGGCTGGGAGACCTGAAGAGAAGGCTATGCTGCTGGGGGAGTGGGTTTACAGGGATGAAGAAACATGCAAAGAAAGAGAAAGACAGCCATCAAGACCCACGGAGTTGGACCAAGGTCCACAAACCCCACAAGGACAAGGACAGGGGCAGGCCCAGAGAAAAGAGAAAAAGGCCCATGGAGACAAGAAAGCAAGCCATACTGACAAGAAAAGGACCTTGGAGACAGGGCAGCTGAGGACCCAGAGAGCCCCTGTGAAGATGGAGAAAGGCCTATGGGAACAGAAAGCCCTTCTCAGGGATGAGGAGTGGTCCATGGTGATGGGGGAAGGCCCACAGAAATGGGACCAAGAAAGCACATCACAGAGATGGGGGGAGGGCCAAGGAGAGTGAGAGGAGGTCACAGAAATTAGGGGAGACTCACAAAGATAAGGATGTAGATACATGAGGCCCATTGAGGCAGGAACAGCCAGCCCATGGAGATAAGGGAAAAGCCCCCAGAAATAGAAATAGCCCCCACAGAGGTGAAGGGATGGGTGTTGAGTGTGGGAATTCTCCATAACGCATGGAGAAATCCTTGGACCTGTGGGCATGAGTGGGTGGGAACAGAGGCCCTAAGTTCTGTAGTCACCTGAAGAGAGGCAGTGAGAAAGGGCAGGGAACTGGAGGGTAGAGCCAACCCAAGTGGGAGACTTCCTCCCCCTCAGGAGGGAGCTGAGCAGGGCATGGGGATGGAAGAGAGAAGCAGCAGTACAGATCTTGGAGTGGGGGTGGGTGGTTCACGGCTGGGGAGGGGGGTGAAGTTTGGGAGGAAGGAACATGACAGTTGGCGTTGAAGGCTGAGTCCATGACTCACCACCACCCCCAACTTCTCGTGACGGGGAGGAGACACTGACACACTCACGTGCAGCATTCCAGCACACATGACTGCATGCCTCGAGCACACATATGGCATGTGGCAACTCTCACACTGGCCTGATAATGGGAAGTCCTCTGCAGCTGGCATGTGGGACATCCCTGACATACATCTGACACACACATCTGATCCTGAAGGACTGCCAACTTTGCACACACTTCTTCACCTTACCTGAGCAATACCTATGGCTCCCCAACACCCATTCTCAGCTTCAGCTAGGCCTGAAAGCCCAGATTCACACCTGCCTTTAGGCCCTTGCCTATGCAGGGACTCCAGCATAGAATGCCTGTCCTCCCTAAATTGAGCCATAAATCCTAATACTGTACCACTACCTCAGGGAAAACTGATCCAGGCCTCAGCTTACTCCTGTATCATCTGAAGAGAAGGGTCTAGCCAACCCAGTAAGTTGGGAGGTCCCAGCTGGCTGGCATTTTGAAGTGGAGAGGAAGCCTCAGCAGGATTCAGGATCTGCCCAAGGACACAGAACCTGTCAAAGACTGAGCCTAGCTTCCAGGTTCTCTGGCTCCCACCCCAGGCAATTTCACCCTGAAGGAAAACACAGATTAACTAGCTTTAGAGCTCACTGATTCCCACCAACTTCTTTTCTCTCCTTCTTGCATTTATCCATTTGACATGCTACTGTGTCCCCCCTGCCAGGCAGTAGAGCCTAGGGGTCATGAGTGTAAACTTTGGAGTCAACTCTTGAGTTGGGATCCTGTCTGTCTCTTCCTAATTAATGGACAAGTTACTCAACTTCTCTGGGCCTTGAGGTTTTTTTGTAAAGTGAGAATAGTTCCTCTCTTCTAGGGTTGTTGAGAGGATTAAACTGAGTAACACATGGAAAACACTTAGCACAAAATTGAACACTTAATACACTCAGAACATGCTTGCTGTTATTACTTGCAGTCCTAACAAAAACAACTTTTACATAGCTTTTGCCCTGTGCCTCACAACAATCACATAGCACAGGGACCATTGTCCTCAGATAGGGAAACTGAGGTACCAGGGAGTTGACTTGCCCAAAGCAACAGCTGGGAAGTAGCAGGATCAAGATTCCAATCCAATCCAAACAGCCTGCTTTATGTCTTATTCTTTAATTTTTGTTTATTAACTTTAGAGAGACAGAGAAACATCGATTTGTTGTTCCACTTACATATGTATTCATTGATTGCTGTCTGTACCCTGACTAGGGATCCAACTTGCAACCTTGGCTATGGGGACAACGCTCTAACCAACTGAGCTACCCAGCGAGGGCTCCAAGCAGCCTGTTTTTAATTACATGGTTCCTGTATTAGAGAGTTTAATCTAGTGGAAAATCAGGACAACCAGGTAGACCAATTGAATGACGTCACAAATTTATGACTGAAAAGTCACACCTAGGCCTTACGCTGGGTTTCCAAGTCCCCTAGTAGCTTTTTAGCGTCAGGAAGGTAAATGACCAACTCCTCTGAGACTCACTTACTCATCTGAGGAATGGAGGTGAGGGCAGGTAGACCAAGTCAATCTCTTACGGCTCCCCTATCCTTGGGTTTCAGCAGTAGCTCTAGGAACATTTATAACAGTTCTGGCTGGGGCAAAGCCTGAAGGCCAGAAGGGAACGGTGAATAGGGACAGACACAGCCCCTTAGATACAAGGGACTCTGTCTTCCCTAAGCTGCAGGGGGTCAATAGGAAGGAAGCAGAGTCCATCTACTACAGGGTCATTTCCTTCAGGTTCTCAAACTGGTTGTGCTTTAGGTTACCTAACCACTCCCCACTCAGCCCCCACACACACTCCCTGTTTTTTCAAATGAAACTGCCTATCTCTTCTTTTCCTTTTACTACATTTTCCATTTTCTCCTTTCTCCTTCAGGGTTTCCTCGGATCCTCTCTTTTTGCTTTTCTTCTACCATTTCTCCTCTCCCTTTCCTCGAGGGTCCCTCTGTTTTTCTCCCCTTCCTTCACGCTGCCTTTATTCCTCGCTTCCTAACAAGGGAACCTGGAAACTTAAGTTCCCCTTTTCCTCCCTCCCTGTGATTGCTTCGGTAGTTTCCTCTGCGCGCTGACTGGCGCTTCCCTCGCTCCCAACGCTCCTCAGGGGTTCCTGCGCCTCAATTCTCCCGCCCTCGCCCTCTGGGTATCGTACACCTCAATCACCCCGACTTCCCCGCGACCCCTACGCGACTACGCGTCCCCAAGATGGCGCCCGAAGCCTCACGTCGCTGCCCGACGTCATCACGCTGCCCTCCCCCTCGATAGCCGTCAGGCGCAGTCGACAGGGAGGTGAAGGAGGACCATTCTCTAGAGGACTTAAGGGGCAGGCACTATCAATCCGAAGGCCAGCCGAAGAGAAAACGTCGCTAGGAGATTGGTTGGGAGCTAAAGAGGTTCCAGACGCTCCATACCATTGGCCGAAGGCTCGGAGACGTAAGCTCCGATTAGCCAAACGGCAGTGGCCAGGCGGGCAATGATTGGGCGCGTTTGGACGTAGCGCGGCGCTCGGGGAGGAAGGTGGGAGGGGCGTTGCTGAGGGCAATTGGGGGCGAAAGCGAGGCTGCGGAGCAGGCGAGAGGCGACGGCGGGAGCTAGAGAGGGCGCAACGCTAGGGTGGCCGCGCGAGGGGAGCGGCTGCCCGGGCCCGGGCCCGGGGCGTGCGAGACGGCGGAGGTGGGTGAGTGCGGGCGGGCGCGCGTGCGGAAGGCCGGTCTAGCCGTTCACCCTCCCGTGCGGCCTGCTTTCGCCACCCCGCCTGCGCACTGAGGGCCGGAGGGGGTGCGCGCCGGCCGTGAGTGCGGAGCAGCACCAACCGCCGGCAGGGCGGGCGGGCAGCCGGGCGGGGGCCGGGCCGGGGCCGGGCCAGGGCGGTGGGTGGGGAAGGAGTCTGTAGTCGAGTTATGGGGCTGAGGCCTGGGTGGGAAGGGAGGTGTTAGAGCTGTCCTCAGGAGGGGCTCCATGGGTATTGGGAGCACAGGGTTTGGCCATGGGACAGTCCAGGACTGAAAGGGGGTGGACGGTTGGCGGTCATTTGGGTGCCCCGGGAGTTTTAGGGCGTGAGGAAAGAGATAATTAAGTTAATGTAAAGAGGAGATCGAGTTATACCTGGAGAGAATTAAGCCAGTGAAAAGGGTCTTAATGTGAAAGATAACAGGAAATGGACATCCCTAGAGGGCAAATTTAGAGCTGAGGGAGAGGTCCAAGTGTGAAGAATGGTGTTGCATTAAAGTGAAGAGGAGTTAAACCAAAGTGAAGGGGG